TCAGGGAGAATTTTCAGCTGTTCTGTCAAGCAAAAGTCAACTGAGTTGGACCTCCCAGGCTGATTTTAACCTCCCTAAGCACACAATAGCAGCTGATTCAGAAAAGCAAATTTTGGAGTTTGTTTCAGTAAACACAATAAGTTGTTATAATAAAAAAAGTGGTCAATATCTTGCAGATTCCTCTCTGTAATTCAGGTGATTTACCAGCTTTAGCCAGGAAAATCTAATGAACCCATTCTTCTGTGGAACAATACAGCACTGCCTTACAAAACAGGTCATAAAATTATATATATCAACTTGAAATTACTTTTTAAACAAATCAATCAGGATGAATCCAATAATGAATTTGCTTTAATTTTTACTCTCTTTTTTTTTTATCAAAAAAAATCCAAACCAGGACTATTTTGTGAAGATAAATGTTTGCATGGAGTCATAACAATGGCATATTTTTTTTCTGTAGAAGTTTTTTGCTGTTTCAGGTTTCACCTTCAATTTACACACACAATTTAAATTATTCCGTGTCCAAAACTTTACAAGCATCTTCCTGGAAAACAGAACTTGCTGTTCTGAAAGGTCTGAAGGCACACTCAGCTTTCATCTGAGGATGCTGAAGACGATCTAAAAAGTCACCAAACTGACTGACATTTCACAGGGCATTAAACCAAACCTGTGAGAATGTCACCTCTGGGTCCAGAGGGAGCACACAGAGAGTACAAGCTGCATTTTCTGGAGAAAGATGCAAGCTACAGAATGTTACTCACCTTGGTTTAAAAGAGAATCACTGGCAAAATGAATGAATATTTATTCAGAAATAATTAGGCAAAACCAATTTCTCTTAAGGAGAGAGATATTTAAAACAATGTTTCTATTTTAGTCTTTTTTTCATCAGCCTAGGATATGAGATTTAGAATTACACTTGACTCCCTCTGACTCATGTTTTAACCATCTTGTTTGTTTGTTCATTTGTTTGAACAGAGCAATCCCCGTTTGAATGCAAAATTTCCCTTTTGAATTCTGCGTTGGTTTCCTACGAGTTTATCAAATAATGGGATGGGGAGAAATGGGGATTTCTCAAAACAAAGTGGAAGGGTGAATATATCTGGCTGAGGTATGTGAGGTCAGTGCACATTCCTCCCCTCACACAATTCCTCTTGCAGCCTTTGTTTGCTCATTTATAACCCCCCAAGCCCAAGGCATGAATTATCCCATTGTACACATCCACCACTTGACAGATTGTTTTAGCAAAACCTTTACGTGCCCTGGCTTTCCCTTCCAGCCTGCCAGGAAGAGTTGAACAAAAAAGGCTGATTAGTTCCTCTCAGTCCTCCCAGATAAACAAACCACAGAGCAAGTCCACACTTTGCACAAGGATCATCCATGCAAAAAGCCCAGACGGGCTCTTGGCGGTGAGGACACAAAGCAGAGCAGCCCAAGGTGCCGGGTCAGGAGGAAAAGCTGCTGCTGATGCAGCATTCTGTCACACAGGGAGCAAAGTGTTGGATTTAACCACACCTAATTATTAAGACACTTCTTAACATTTGGTAATGAAACACAAAAATAATTAGATTTTTTTTTTCCTTTAATAAAGCCTCGGGTAATGTCAGTGACAGATGCTGGTTACATAAATATGTGTTTATGTGCTCACCTAAGAAACTGCCTAGGAAATGCCTAAAAAACTCAGCAGATTCCCAAATCCAAGTGTGCCCATGGAAGGAGTGCATTAACTGCAGTGGGTGAGCTCCAAGTCCAAGCACCAGAAATTAAAAATTTCCTTTCCTGTGTTTTCAAAAGCATCAAAGCTCTTTGGAGAGAGATTTTAATGAATTGCATTCTCCCATCAACCCACAACACAAAGATGGTAGGGCAGCAGTGAGGGGAAAGATAAGAAATAAAAGAAATAAGAAATAAGAAATAAGAAATAAGAAATAAGAAATAAGAAATAAGAAATAAGAAATAAGAAATAAGAAATGGAAAAGGAGCAAATAAATCCTGAGTTTCATTGCAACATGTGGGGAAGGAAACAACTTT